GCTGTTTTCATCTTTTCTGTACATTTGTTGTTGTTTTGGGGCCACACCTGGCAATGCTCCTGGCTCTGCACTCTGGAACTACTCCTGGGCCATGCTCAGGGGAGATAGAACCCAGGTCAGGTGCATGCAATCCCTATCTACTGTACTATTTCCCTCTGGTCTTTTTCTGTACATTTTTAATGCACTGAAACATTTAAAAACAAAACAAATAAAACCAGGCCCCAGTAAAAACAATTGATGGGACAAAATGAGAAGTTTTGATTTAAGTTCTCCGTAGCTTTTACAGTGCAACTAGCCTTGAAAGGATCATTGTTCAAAAAGAAACTTGAACGGTGCCCAATAGAAAAATGTCATAACAAGGTAAGAAAAATAGCCCTAAATATTTTCATCAGGGTAGAGAAAAGGTGGAGTGGGGGAGTCAAGCACACTGGTGGTGCTCAGTGCTTATTCCTAGCTGTGTTCAGGAATGACTCCTGGTAGACTAGGGGGAACCATATGGGGTTCCAGGGATGAAGTCAAGGTTTGCCTTGTTGCAAGGCAAATGCCTCACTTGTTGCACTATCTCTCTGACCTAAAAAATAACTTAATTCTATAGCTACCAGATTAACAAGGATAAATGGCAAGAGTTGAGCAAAATGTAGCAAGTTTCAGGACAATGCACGTGTCTAAAATTGATATCTTGCTAAACAATATTTGTACCTAAGTATAAAGGAATGCATGCTTGTGGCATATTCCATATTCAAGGTAATAATGATGACCTTGAAAAAGAAAATGAGTGTAGAGCAATCAGATTAAGGATTTCAGTTGTACTTATAATGTTTTATTTTTTAAATTGGGTAATGAACATTTAAGTTCATAATTTTTAAAACCTAGTGTGTATCTGGGCGGAGTGGTAGCACAGCGAGTAGGGCATTTGTCTTGCACGCGGCTGACCCAGGTTTGATCCCTCTGTCCCTCTCGGAGAGCCTGGCAAGCTACTAAGAGTATCCCACCTGTATGCCTGCATGCCTGCATGGCAGAGCCTGGCAAGCTCCCTGTGGCGTATTCGATATGCCAAAAACAGTAACAAGTCTCACACTGGAGACGTTACTGGTACCCACTTGAGCAAATCGATGAACAACAGGACAACAGTGCTGCAGCGCTACCGAGAGTGGTGAAAATGAATCCTAAATGGCACATGAGGAAAAGCCTATCCAAAATTAGGAGGCTGGTGGGGGCCCACTTGAGTGGGGTCTGTGCTTCCTGGGAAGAGTGGGTGGTCAGCAAGTGCTGATGGCTGAACCCTGAAGTGACCTCTCACCTTACTATCACTCTGCTGGCCTGCAGGCACTCCCTGTTCCTACTCTTTTTTTTTTTAAATTTTTATTAGTGAGACGGGGCTGGAGCGATAGCACAGCGGTAGGGTGTTTGCCTTACAAGCAGCCAACATGGCCGACCCAAGTTCTATTCCTCCACCCCTCTCGGAGAGCCCGGCAAGCTACCGACAGTATCTTGCCCACATGGCAGAGTCTGGCAAGCTACCCGTGACGTATTCAATATGCCAAACACAGTAACAACAAATCTCATGATGGAGACGTTACTGGGCCCGCTCGAGCCAATCGATGAACAACGGGAGGACTGTGACTGTGATTAGTGAGACATCATGAGGTACAGTTGCAGACTTAGAAATCTTTGTGCTTGGGTTTCAATTATACAATGATCAAATACCCATCCCTCCACCAGCGCCCATTTCCCACCTGTTCCTACTCTTTGGGGAAGTGTTTTGGAACAGAATAAAGGCTCTACTAGAGAACCCTCTGGCAACCAGTCACCTTCAATGAACATTGTAAGCAGTAGGAGGGGGGGATGTCAAGGCATAGGAGGGGGACTGAAGTCTCATCATAGGCACAATGAGGATGTTTTTATTTCTGAAAGGGTCATTACTAGCTGGCACCAGAGTACTCGAGAGGATTCAAAGAAAAGGGGTGGGGAGTGTAAAGTGCTTTGCTTGCTCTTCTTTGCCTGCAATATCAGTAGAAAGGTGAAAGTTGCCATTTTCTAGATGTTTATTTCCTTTCTGCCTTTATAGGTGAGAAAATGACCCTCAGAGATGGTGGGAGACTTGCCTCTCCTGGGTGCTGACTGCAGGGCTGCTGGCGTGCCGTTGTCAAGGAAAAGCAGATTATTTGCAGCTATGCTCTGCATGAGTTGGAACATGGGTATGGGTTTCACTCCTCCCAGGGGTGTTGGGAAGCTAGGATGGGGTGGCAGGTCCAATTCAACTTCATGGCTCCAGGGGCATGAGTGGAACCGTGACCTGAACTGGGAGGATGGGAGTGCCTTGAGCTTCAAGACTGACCTTAGGGTTTCTCGCCTCACCTTGACCTGGCCTGCATGGCAGTGATGTTTCTGGGTTTTTCCACTCACCTCAGAGTACAGTACTTGTCCATTCCATGACCTTCTTAGGTAATAGTATTCTCAGCCACAACTTTAATGGTGATTAAAACAAGGGTGAAGAAAAAGAAAATGAGGGGACCCCCGCCCAAGAGAGAGTACAGCTTTGCCTGCAGCTGATAGCAATTCAGTCCCTGCATACAGATGGTCTACTTAGCACAGTCTGGACCCTGGAGCACTAAACCAGTAGTAGCCCCTTAAACCAGTAGTAGCCCCTTGGTACTATTGGATCTGGCCTCAAAACCTTCCCATCCCCATCAACATTCCCACAATAGAGAGAAAATAAAAGCCATCATACAGGCAAACCTTTCTTGATTCTTGATTAACTCTTGTTCCCTGCAAAGGAGTCCGGGGTGAGGCAGGTAGGGAGGTGATAGTGGAGATTCTTATATTTGATTAACACAGAAAGTATAGTGGTTACGGATAGTGTAAGGGTTTTGGAGTCAATTGGAACTATATTAACATCAAAGGATTGGGCCAGAAAGATAGCTCAAAAGAGTACATGATTTGCTTGTGAAGGCCCCAAGGTTGGGTGGCCCAAAATACAAAAAATTCATGGCGTTGCTAGTTACCATTTAAGAGATGTTGGGTAAGTCACCCAACATCTCTGAGTGTCATTTCCTCACCTAAAAAGAGAGAATCAGAATAGCATACATTGTCAAAACCTGCTATGAAGATTAAATAATGAATATAAAGGGTTTTAAGCTTCAATAACTATGTTTTACATGTTCAATAAAAACATCTAGAAAATGGCTAGTATGGTGCCAGCTAGTAGCTGACCTTTGAAAAATAAAAGCGTTGTCATCATTGCGGCCATAATGAGTCTTCAGTTCTAAGGGAAAGTGTTTGTTTGTTGTTTGTTTGGGGGCCATACCTGACAATGTTCACAGGTTACTTCTGACTCTGCATTCAGGAATCACTCCTGGCAGTGCTCCGAGGGATGTATGGGATGCCAGGGATCGAACTTGGGCTGACTGAGTGTAAGCATCTTTCCTGCTGGATTACCTCTTTAGCCAGGGCTGGTGTTCTTATTCCTGACCTGACTTCCCCTCCTGGAAGTTTTGAATCTGGTGGATGACAGATGCGTGAAGTTCCTCTCTAAATGAGAAAGGGAGTCCCTTCAATGACTATAAGAGGTTTGGTGGAAAGGGAAGGGAAACATAGGCTATTTTGCTTTTTTTTTTTCCTGGGTTTTCTATCACTTCCATCCAATGGTCCCAAGACTACAGAGTAGCAAAATGAACTAAAAGATATACACTGAGTTTAATGGACTAGATCATTAAACTGAGAGAGCAAGCTAAGGTGCTAGGACTGAAGCTAATTAGTTGGGGTGGCCTTAAAGATAAGGTGAGACAGAGGGAAAGGAGGGAGTGGTGAGCTCAGCATTGCCAGGCCCTTGAGGATCTAGTAAGTATGTCATTCTATCTGAAACTTCAAGAAAATAACTGTTTTTTAATTTTGTTTTAATTTATGGGCCACACCTGGCACTACTCAGAGTTACTCCTGGCTCTGCATTCAGGAATCACTCCTAGAGGTGCTCAGCAGATGGTATGAGATGTTGAGGATTGAACCCAGATCAGTTGTGTGCAAAGCAAGTGTCTTACTTGCTGAACTATCTGTTTCCTAGGAATTGTAATTATGTTTCATATTTACCTATGTATCTTTGGTTCGAGGTAAACCTGGCTCTGGGACCACTTGGTGGCTAGGTTTCAGCAGCCAAAGCATGTGCTTATAGGGCTCTCTCTCTCTCTCTCTCTCTCTCTCTCTCTCTCTCTCTCTCTCTCTCTCTCTCTCTGGCTCTTGTGCTATTTTTACATTTTTAGTTACATCTTAAAAAGATTTTTCTAGGGGCTGGAGCGATAGCACAGCGGGTAGGGCATTTGTCTTGCCGGCGGCCAACCCAGTTCGATTCCCAGCATCCCTTATGGTTCCCTGAGCACCGCCAGGAGTAATTCCTGAGTGAAAAGCCAGGGGTAACCCCTGTGCATCGCCGGGTGCGACCCAAAAAGAAAAAAAAAAGTTTTTTCTGGCTTAGTCAACCTTTGCATAAGTTATACCAAGGCAGCACCTCTAACTTTCAAACCAATGGGCCCCCATTCAGGATTTCCACGTTCTCTTGCATAAATAAGGGTGTGTGGGGTCCTAAGGAGTTGGGACAAGGACAGAAACCCTTAGCAAAAGCAGAGCTCTTAAGCAGAGCGTCAAGTCTCTCTTGATCCTTTTTCCTGCAGGTGTTCCCGGGTTCTGACTGAGACTGGACGCTCTCCGCCACTTCGCAGAATCAGCGGACGATTGACTGATTCATAACCCAGAGGCACCGGTCTGGGGGGCACCTAAAAACCCCCGCCACGAGGCTCCATCAGCCTAGACAGCCAATCGCGAAGAAGAGCCGGGGCGGGGCCGCTGCCAGTCGGGGCCGCTATTGGCCGGTGGCCGCGTCGCTCGCGCTGGGGGGCACGTGACTGGTCCGGCCTCCGGCGGGCGCGGCCCGGCCCCGCCTCCGAGCGATGGGCGGGGAAGGGGACGCGGCGCTTAAAGGGAAGCGCTTGGCCGCCGCTCCGCCGAGCCTCTCCGCCCCGCCCGAGCTCACGGTGGACCGCGGAGCCTCGTCGTCGCTCGGGGTGGCCCCCCAGAACCCTGAGGTGAGAAGAGCAGGGTGGGGCGCCGAGCGCCGAGGGGGCGGTGCGGCCGTGGCCGGGCCTGTCGACCGGGGCGGGGGGCTGCTGGCGCGGGAGGTGGGCGTGCAGCGGGGTTTGCTCCTGGCGGAGACCGGGGGGTCGAGGTCTGAACCCCGCCGGCCACGCGGGGCACCGCTCCTGCTGTTCGGCCAGCGAGCTGCCCACCCTCCGCCTCACACACCCTGCCTGTGCCCCTGTCCCGCCGAGCTGCCCACGCTGTCCGAAGCGCCTTCTCGGTCCTACTGTCCGAGTGTCGGGGCCGCGGGGAGGCTGGAGCGCGCCTTACCCAGTCCCAACTCCGGGACACGCCGGGGAAACTGAGGCCTGGACGATGCAGGGGCATTACTCCTCGCTCTGCACTCAGGAATTACTCCTGGCGGCGCGTGGCGGATCCTATGGGATGCTGGGGGCCGAACCCGGGTCAGCCGCGTGTCCCCCCCGCCGACCGGCCACTCTGGCCCTCACTCCGGCTTGGTCCTCCTGTATCCTGTACTTTCTCAAGAGCTGTGGTCAGGTTGAAAGTTTCACTCACTGCATGGAGGCACTGAGCCTAGCCTCAAAGGACACAGCCGCTCATCTGCAGAGTTGGGACCTGTTCCCGCTTCTCCCAAACTCACTCCCAGCACACAGGGCCCTTCTTGGCACAAACTGGAGATCATGTCAAAAGGAAGCATTCAGGAAATACACTCCCTGCTTTCTGTCCCCACCCATAAACCATGCGGAATCTGGAACTAATGTGTTCCACAAGATTGCGCCGAGCCAATAAAGCATGGTCTCAGGCATGTATGCTCAGCCTGAGCCGGTCCCCAACTCTGCCTGCTGGTTAGAAAGGGGCCCAGCTATTCCTTCAGGAATCTCTCTATTCAGTAACTGTCATTTATGAATGACAGTTACTGAATAGAGTAACTATATAACCAATGCTAGATGCCTGTATTCTTTGTTAGCTTTCAAAAAGCCCCAGAGATAATGGAATTCCCATGTGGGTGAGAAACTGATTTTGAGAAAAACACAGTTTTTCATGCAGTGACATAACAGTTGTTGAACAGCAGGACTGGGATCTGAACAGAGCTCTGATTCCCCTAACACCCAGTGACTTTCCAAGTGTGGCCCTTCATTCACTGCCATCATATCAACCAGAGTACAGTCCTGGATCATATCCCTGGATTTTCTTGATAAATTTCATCATCTCAACAGGTCTCTGTAAAAATGTTTGGTTCTCATTGTATCAATATACTGCCTCCTAGAGTAAGCTTTCAGGATGACAGGCCAATCTTGGAGAGATCCAGATTTTGTGTGTTGTGTCTAAGAGGAGCCCAATTAAGCAGCATTAAGGCCAAAACACAAAAACAAAAAAACCCCTAAGAAGTGAAGGGAGAAGCTCTGAACATAGAGAGTAGGATTCCTGTTGGGAATAGCAAAAGCAGGATCTTGACCCTGGGCCAAAGCTACAGAGATAAGTTTCACATTGTTGCTCCCATTAGAAAAGGAAATTGTTACCAGGTGTATGTGTATAATACTAACAGATAAAAATAATTTCATTGTTAATTCTTCTTCCAAATCTGCTTCAGTCTGTTACTTTGTAAACATAGGAACTACTCAGAAATGAATAGAGAACTTGACCACAGGTGTTTCTTTGAACTAATTCTAAAACCTCTTAGGACACATAATTGGGCATTGTGAAGTATTCTGTATGAGGTTGTAAAATTTGGTCCTTGCAAGTGATTAAACAGTTGAGTAAATGATTAAATTTTGGGTTTTTTTCTTGCTGTATAGTGGGAATTCAAATGTGGCCTTCATATTTATTGAAGAGGCAAAGAAGAGATGGATATGAAAAAAATTGGAAGCAGTGAATTATTGTGCAAGAAACTATTTGGTAATTTGGTTAAGAGCCTGTATTATTTTCCTCAGGAGTTTTGTTACTTTGTATTCTATTTTTCTAGAAACAGTATCATAGTGCTTATACTACTGATCTTAGGTGTTCAGATTCCATACATAGGTTAATAATTTGTTAGTAAACAGTATATATATATATATTTGCTTTTTGCATCATACGCAGTAATGACTAGGGGTTACTCCTGGCTCTGCGCTCAGGAATTACTCCTGGTAGTGCTTGGGGGACCATATGGGATGGCGGGGATTGAACCCAGGTTGGCCGCGTGCAAGGCAAAATGCCCTACCTGCTGTACTTTCGCTCTGGCCCCAACAGTTAATAATTTGTGGTAACTATAAAATAAGAATTTTAGCCCGGCAAGCTACCAAGAGTATTCGATATGCCAGACACAGTAACAACAAAGTCTCCAATGGAGATGTTACTGGGCCCGCTCGAGCAAATCGACGATCAACGGGAGGGCCTTTACCTTTTACCTTTATATTTGCTTAACATCTCACGTTTTTATTTCATTAAGCTTAGATATACAGACATGTGCATCAAGTGCCTGTATATCAAGTGTCTGCATTGATTGGTTCAGGTTCTGGGTTCAACGAAAATGAGGATAACTTGTTTCTATATTCTCTAGATTGTGTCTTAGATTGAGAGACATGTAACTTTAAGTCCCAAATATTTATATGTAGTATGTTGGAGATGCAGAGCCTACTATCCTGTGGCATCAGAAAAGAACCATGATGGGTGGTGCTGAAAGGGATGAGGCTTTCCAGGCTGAAGGAACAACATTGAGCAAAGGCCCCAGAGAGAAAAGAATGCTTTGTATTTCCATGAATTGGTGACTAAAACACTGGCACATAAAAATAAGTGAAAGAAGGAAATTGTCAGGCTGCTATAGAGGGAAAAAAACCACATTATTTGAATTAAATTGGGGAATCATTGCAGATTTTTGAAGATTGTATCCAAATGGTTCACTCTCGAGTTGGTCATGATTCTTTTGAAGAAGGGGCAATGTAGCACAGTTGTTTTTAACAGCGTTGCTTCTGTAGGTGTCAGTGTATCTATAGCTTTCAAATCATTTAGGAACAAACAAACCCCCAAGGAACCTGTGTATATAGAGGGCAGAAGTGAATGTGGAGCAGAGTATTAACAAAGGCTGAATTGTTAAAGTGTAAATGAATGAATTGTGAGTAGATTGGTGAAAGAAAGAAGTATGCTTTTTTTTTTTTCAGGTTGTCTCAAGATTTGAAATTAGCTTCAAATCAGACAGGCTTTAAGTTCAGTCTGAATTCCACTTCTTACAGGCAGTATATGAACTGGAGAATCATTTCCAGCCTACACAGTCCACACCCTTTCCAGCCTAGTTTAACCAAGATTTTTCCACATTAAGGAAGATACTTTTTTTGGTAGATGACTCGTTCACATTAATATTAGGTCAGTGTTAAGATTTCAGGTTTCCTAAAAACTTTAGTTTCTATAGTTGCAATTTATTTCCCCACTCTGTCTTCTTTTGGATTTAATATTTTCTATTTTTTCCTATTTATCCTTTCTCCTTTCTTAGCCACACGCTTGGTTATTAACGGGATTTGCTTTAGACTTTAGCCACCTTCAAGTGATATTTTACCATTCCATGTATAGTATAAGAACCTTATAAATATTATGTCGCCTCTTCCTGATTATATATGTGTGTTAAGATATAGATATATACAACATAAATTGGTCATTTTACCATTTTAAGTATATATAAGTCAGTGGCAATTAGCATATCCATAGTGTTTTTCTATACCATTTATACCATTACTACTGTTTCAAAACCTTGAAACAGATGCTCTGTGACCATGAAACTCATCTCCCCAGCTTTGTTAATCGCTATTATAGTTCTATCTCTCTCTCTGTCTGTCTCTCTCTGTCTCTCTCTCTCTCTCAATGGTGGGGATGGACTGAACATACTGTGATGTTCAGGGGCTACTTCTGAGTCAGGAGTTATCCCTGGCAGTGCCTGGGGGACCACATTTGGTGCCTGAGACCAGACTAGAAAACTAGGCTGATTGCTTGTAAAGCAAGCACCTTACCTTCTGTATTATCATTTGGGACCCTATTTTTACTTTTTGGGTCACACCCAGCCAATGCTCAGGGGTTACTCCTGGTTCTGCACTCGGGAATCACTCCTGGCGGTGCTTGGGGGACCATATGGGATGCTGGGAATTGAACCCGGGTTGGCCACGTGCAAGGCAAATGCCCTACCCGCTGTGCTATTGCTCCAGCCCTAGGCTCCTATTTTTGATCTCTCTAAATTTTTATACTATGGTTGCATCATTTCATATACCTACTAGAAATGATAAAGATAAATCATTTATCTATCAAAGAATCAAAAACCAGGTTACATTTTTAAAATGATACTTTGTCTAAATAACTTTTGGTCCTGAGCAGTGCTTGGTTCTGGGGCCACTCCTGGAAATGCTTGGTATGGTGCTACAGGTCAGACAGTTCAATGCTCAGGCCAGTGACGTGGTGCTTGGGTGTTTCAGGGCCTCTAAGGCTATACCCGGTTGGTGCTTGGGATCGAACTTAGAGCCTGGTGAATGCCATTCCCCTTGGAGCTGGCTCCCTGGCTCCTTAAAATAGCTTAAAAATAAAAACCAGTCTATCTGGCTAGAGAGATAGTACAATAGGTAAAGTACTTACCTTGTACACCACAGACCCCAGCTCGATTCCCAGCACTATATATAGTCCCCTGTATACTATATACACTGTATATAGTCCCCTGTATATGCCAGGAGTGATCCCTGAGCACAGCTGGGCATGAGCTAAGGACCAAAAGCAAAAAACAATCAAAAAACAATCTAGCTATCAAAAATGACTTTTTTTTTTTAGGTATAATTTTGGCTCCTTTTATTGAGTCCATTGGCCATACTCATCCACCATATTTGCTACTTACTGTCAGCTGGGCTAGGGATGGGAAATATGAGAGACACAACTTTCAATCATTGTGGTTAAAAAAAATGCATAAGATTGATTTTACTATTTTAACCATTTTGGGGTCAGTGAGATAGTACAGTGGATAAGGTTCTTGCTTTGCTCA